AGGAGAGTATGCATGATTGGGGAAGATTGTGGAGAAAGTGGTCACACAGCAGCTTCAAAGGGCCCTGGATGAAGCAAATTATCTGGACCCTTTTTAGTCAGGATTCAGGCCAGGTTATGGAACTGAGATGGCATTGGTCACATTCTTGGATGACCTCTGACAGGAGCAGGATGGGAATAGTGCATCTATCCTTGCTCTTCTTGACGTCTCAGCAGCCTTTGATACCATCAATCATGGTATCCTGCTGGACTGGCTTCAGGAGTTGGAGATGGGGGTACGGTGTTGTGCTGGTTCTCCTTCTTCCGGGGTTGGTTCCAGTCGGTGTTGATGGAGGGGAGAGGTCCAGCCCGCAGCCCCTACTTTGTGGAGTGCCGCAGGGCTTGGTCCTCTCTCCTCTGTTATTTCACATCTACACACGTCTGCAGGGTGAGGTGATCTAACAGTTTGGGGTGATGATACCTAGCTTTATATCTCCACCCCAGGCCACTTGAGTGATGCTGTGGATGTCCTGTCTGGAAGCTGTAGGGGCTGGATGGGGTGCAATGGGCTTTGGCTCAGCCCAAGCAAGACTGAGTAGCTCTGGGTACTTGCGCCTTGCAGTGTCAAGGTTTTTCCACCTTTGGTCTTGGATGGGGTGGCACTGCCCCAGATGGACCCAGTGCGTAATCTGGGGGTCCTCTTAGACTTCTGGCTCCTACTAGAAGAGCAGGTGGCATCTGTGGCTAGGAGGGTCTTTGCACACCTTCGGGTTGTGCGCAAGTTGTGCCCATTCCTAGACCAAGAGGCTCTGCTCACAGTCACTCATGCTCTCATGACCTCCTGTTTGGATTACTGCAATGCACTCTACATGGCACTGCCCTTGAAGAGCATTTGGAAGCTTCAATTTGTGCAGAATACAGCTGCACAGGTAGTAAATGGTGTTGGATATTTGACACATAATACCACTGCTTCATGAGCTGCATGGTTGCCAGTGTGTTTCTGGGTGCAAATCAAGGTGCTGGTTGTCACCTTTAAAGCCCTTCGTGGTTTTAGACTGAGGTATCTGAGGGACTGTCTTCTTCTGGTTGTTTCTATCCATCCAATCTGGTCCAGCAGGATGGGCATGCTCTGGGTCCTTGTCAAGGAATGTTGGCTGGCAAGGACTAGGAGGTGTGCATTCTCTGCCGTGGCTCCTGTCCTCTGGAACATTCTCCCTTCAGACATTAGGATGGTCCTGATCCTGTTGGCCTCTCGTAAAGCCTTGAAGACCTGGTTATGTGCCCAGGCCTGAGGCCCTGAAGGTGTTAAGGGCCTGGTTTCCTGGTTATATGAACATCTCTGGTTATGATTTTTCTTGGCTGCTATATATATTTATGTATTGTGTTTGTACTTGGTTTTAATTGATTTTATGATTGTTGCCCAGAGTCACTTGTTTGAGATGGGCGGCCAAAGAAACGAATGAATGAATGAATGAATGAATGAATGAATGAATGAATGAACAAATGAACAAATGAAAAGACCAGAATATATCCTCTCCAGCAACCAACAACCAGATAAGCAGGGATTAACACCAGACAAACAATAAAGCAGGAAACAATACCCTAATGAAGGAACTACCAAGGAAAAAACCACATCCCCACCAACACTGGCAGGACAAGCTACTGTATATAAAAAGGGAGCAAACCCCACACTCAGCAGCACTGATGACGTTACCTAGTCAGGTAATGAAATGTCTGCAAGCAAACAACCAAGCTCAGAGAGCACCAAGGACTCCACAGTTCATCCCTGAGCGGCTCCTCTATTGAAAGAAGCCTTCACCCTGAAGTGAATTGATTTAGGATTATGTTTTTCAAACTTGGCAACTTTAAGATATGTGGACATCAGCTCCCAGAGTTCCACACATCTTAAAGCTGCCAGGTTTGAAAAATATTACTGATTTAGGATAGTAATAATAATAATAGCAACAACAAAAACAGTAATCATACTATTCTACAGGATCAAAGATTTCAATTTTCCAGAAATATTCTATTACATTTGCAAAGGGCTTGATAATATTTTCAAGAAGGCTCTGAAAATTAGTTTCAAAAGTCCTCAGGCAGTGCCTGGGGAACAAAATTTTCAATGACCAGATGGCACCAGGACAGTATCCTATCTTAATAGGAAAACTAGAAACATCATGCAAATTAGTAAGGGCTGCAGTCAGTATATTTGTGAAAAAATTCTGGAGAACTACTAGCTATAAATATTGGATTAGCCAGGTGTAGCATTCTGCATTTTTAGAACACACATTACCATTTATATGTATGAACTGAAAGAGATCTTTTGTAGCAGTTTAAATAAAAATTCTAGAATAATATCAAGGTATATATAACTGCAGTATTCTCAGCTAGTATTGAGTAGTATGTCACTGTGCAAATAAATTAATACTGGTGGCTACAACTAATGCCAAATAATTACAGCCATTATAGTTTCAGGGATATGGAGGGAGATTTACAGAACAAGCTTTTCAGAAAGCATGGATATGTTGCAAGATGTGTAAAGCCTTCTAACATCTTTAACACATCCATTGTATAGAAGTAAAATCTAAGCCAAATATTTTAAAATATAAATGGGATATTAGCACCACTAGTCTTTAAGAGATGAATCAATAACTTGAATCCTAAATTGTAACCAATTTTTGAAGACATTTATAGGTTATTTTCTATATTTCAGGGCTCTTTGTTACCTGAATCTGAAGCAGTACAAAGAAGCAATTCTGGATTGCTCAGAAGCCCTTAAAATAGACCCAAAGAACATCAAGGCATTTTACAGACGAGCCCAAGCATATAAAGAGCTTAAGGTAAATAACTTTTTTTGGAATTTTAGATAAGTGCACAGTCAGCATTGGACACCCAAATTTATATTGATCAGTAAGGAAATAACCCCATTAGGTTCTCTAAGATTTTTCTTCAGAGAGTATTCCTTAGATGTAGATCACCTTAACGGCATTGCATTTAAAGAGCCAGTTCGCAAATTTGCTGACACTGTTCAGTTTGTAAAAGCTTTGGTTTTCATATGCTGTTCTTAAGCCTTTTGTTCTAGTGGATAGCTATGGGAGCTGCTTATCATATTTTGCTTTTTACTTGTGTGTCTTCTGTGTGAGTTAAAAAAATACCAGTCCAAACAGTCCTTTCTTTGCTTATGAAAGTGGACAGTGCATGCAGGGGCTGGTCGATTCCTAGTAAACTAAAAGAAATAACAGTATTAAGAAGATTGTCTACAGTTAAGACAGCGTGGCTGCAACGTAATCACCAAAATATTTTAATCACTTCATTAGGTATTTTTCTCACGCAGGAATTCACAATTTTAATTGATTTTGTTTCTCTAGGACTATAAATCCAGCAAAGCAGATATCAACAGCCTCTTGAAAATTGAACCAGAGAACAGTGCTGCTAAGAAACTACAACAAGAATTAAACAAGCTCTTAAAATAAGATAGCTAAAGAGAACTTTGTGCTTTTCTGATATGTTTTTCTTGTTAAAAAAAGATTACTGGGATGCAGTTACAAAACCTTTCTAGACCTGCTGATGTTTCTCTGGTTCCTTCCCTTATAAAAAGTGTTCATTCTTCTTCCTCAGTCTTCTAAAAGTTCTGTGTTATCTCTTGAGATCTGCAGCTTTCTAGCAAATTACTTCAGAGAGGAGCTAAGCTGCAAGCATCTCTTCTAGAAAATTGTTTTTAATTAGAACACTGTTTGTCCAATGTATTTCTGGTGTGTTTGCAGAGACAGAACTATTATAGTGGCTGATTGATTAAAGTCTTGGCATAACAAACTGGCAGTAAGACTTTCAAGGATAGATCCCTGCTTTGCCTTAACTTTTATGGACTAGGCTTTGGTGGAACATTTTGGTCTTCAATGTGTTACCTGGAAATCTAAAAATGCTTTTGTCCTTTACCAAAGAATTTGGCATGTAGTCCTTTCTTCATTCTATATGTACCTTTTAGCAGTTAACTTTTTAGAGTTCTTGGTAATTAAGCTTAATTTCACGTTCTCTGAAGTTAAATACATGTTTGGAATCTGTTAGTCTTTTCCAAAGATACTTTTTCATTTTAACCTTGTTCTAAGCTAAAGTTCATGTCATGGTGGAGGAGGGAAGAGGTGATCAGTTGAGTGTGGCACAGTCTCAGGTAAAGGGGGCTGCTCCTACTGTATATCTGCTTACAGTTGCTTATCTAAGACCTAGATTCTTTCAAGCAGCAGATACTGAAAAAATCAGAATGATTTAAAAAACACCTCTGTAGATAGGAATGAGTCATGCATACTGGACAACTCACCATATCCCTCACACTGTCCATGTTTAGATGGGCCTATTGAGCAGTTTTAATTTGGGAACATATGGGTGACTTCACATTTTCCTATCCTGCTATAGAGAATTAGATTGTAGGACGGAAAACACTTTTGTTTAGTATTCAGCCTACTATGCTGATACTCTACTTGAGTGGAAGGAGAATTGAACTTCCAATTGTTATTTAGTAATAATGCTATCCAAGATTTTCCAATATGTCACCTTTTAAAAAATCCTTACATCTTTTACAGTACCTATATAGCTGTTGCTACTCAGATTATGCTGCCTCTGCAGCTTTTCCAAGGTGGGCCTGTAGGGAGCCACTTAGGGCATTGCTACTACTTGCCTTAGTGAGAAGAGAGCTTTGTATGCTTCCTCTTACCACAGACCTGCAGGGTAGAGACTATGCACGAAGCATTTTGAGAAGGTCCACCCTCAATATTGCACTGTGGAGTATCATTTGTCTCTGGAAATTTTAGAGAGAGAAAGTCTTTCTTTGGGCCTTATTGCAAGGAATAAAGCTTGATTCTTATAGTATCTATCAAGTTATCCTGTTATTTTGAACTTTCAAAATAAACAAACTGTTATTTTAGGCAATTTGGAAAAGTGAGAGGCTTTGTTGAGCATTTTACACCATGACATTCATTTTCCAGAGGAAAAGTGCGTTCAGGTTTGAAACAACCCTGAGAACATCTATGGGCTGTTGATAGGATTTAGCTAAGGGTAGCAGCATCATGAGTGTGGATGCTGTAAATCTGCAGAACATCCTGAATTGCAACTTTTAGGATCCCTGATCATTGGCCATGGTGGCTGGAACTACAGAGTTCTACAGGCCCCTTCTTTTGGAGTAATTTGGCCAACTGGAGAGGGATTCCATGCATCCCCAAACTAAGTGCAAGCATAGGCCCAAATGGTAATATAAAATGTAGCTCCAGTAATGTGAATGATACCCCCATACATGTCATGAAAATCAAAGTTTATAGTGAGTCTGGCTTATCGCAGTATGTTGGATGCCATAGACCAAAAGACCCAGGGCTCTTCAAACTAAAGGGAACATTATCTTGCATCTCCACAAAACCCCATTTGCTTTTTGGGTCTCCCTCGGCTGGCAAGTTGGTCAAGGTATCCCTCCAAACCAGCTCCTGGATCAGGAGGCTCTGCTCACAGTCACTCTCACCTGGATTAATACAACATGCTCTACATGGGCTGCCCTTGAAGACTACTCAGAAGCTATAGCTGATGGAATTCAGCAGCATGGATAATTATGGATGCACCTCACTACCCCCATATAATATCACCCCTGCGTGAGTTGCAGTGATTACTGGTATCCTTCTATTGCTATTTAAAGGATAGGTTACTGCCTACAAAGCCCTTCATGGCATAGGACTAGGATATTTGAGGGACTGTCCATTTCTCTGCTCAGCCAAGAATATCAGAGTCGGCATGCTCCAGGTCCTATCAAACAATGCCTTCTGGAGGGACCCAGAAAGCATGCTTTCTTTCTTGCAATTCCTGCTCAATAGGACAGCATCCCCCCTGAGATCCAGATGGCTTCAACCCAGCCAGCCTTTAGAAAGGCCCCAAAGACCTGTCTTTTCCCACAGCTAGCACATCAAGATGTTGCATGAGCCATCAGTGTGTTAATACAGGTAGTCCTTGAGTTACAACCAGTTATTTAGCGACCGTTCAGAGTTACAACAGCACTGAACAAATGGTACTTACAACAGGTCCTCATAGTCCTGGCCATCACAGTGAGCAATGGTCACGTGATTGCAATTTCCAACGTTCTCTGCAGGTTCCCATGAGCAAAGTCAATGGAGAAGCCGGCAGGAAGTCGGAAGTCACAGTCACATGAGGTCCTCACTTAATGACCCACGGGGTCCTCGCTTAACAACAGCAACCAGGACTGCCAGAACTGTTGTCACTAAACGATATAGTCATGTGATGTTGCTCTTAGTAATGGCAGTTCCAGTCCCAGTGAATTTTGATTTTGATGCTACAGATCTGTGTGCTTTTTAATGTTACTTTTCCATCTGGATTTTTATTATTTATATTCCTTTGCTGATTTCAGTGTTGCTAGTCACCAGAGTCATTTGCAAGTGGACAGCCATATAAACTGAATAAAATGAATACTAAAATAAACATTTGAAGAGTTTTGAATCCACCCACAAACAAAAAAGTTGGTTGTTTCTGCCATTTCTACAGTAAATGTGAAGAGTAGCATCTAGAAAAGGAGACAAAGGTTGGTGAAGTGAACTTTCAGCTCTTTTATCAAGTCAACAGCAGGAACAAATAAAATACTATTACAGGCCCCTAGCACTGATTCAAGCTTAAAGTTACTAAAAAAAAAAGAACCAGGATCAAAAAATGAATTTCCAAAAAAATCAACATAAGAGAATTGTTTTGTTCCATTTTCACCTTCCTACTGCATCATTATATACCAGGCCTACTAGGATTACGTATGGAAAAAGTAACTATAATGGCTATTCAATGCAAAAAAGAAAATAATTCAAATGGGGCTAGATTTTTGCATGAAGAACTAGTTTATACAGATATTCACAAAATCTCTGGTAGCATGAAGATTTCCACCTTGACGCTGCTCTATTCAGTGTGGATTGTCCATTTTCTTTTTTTCCTGCAAAGACACGTTTTAGTTTTAAATGGAGAAGCCAAGACTAAACTCTTTTCTTACAAAATGCTGCTGGTTAACAGGTTTTTAAGAGCTTCTTTCTTAGTTTCTCTGCCTCAGCAACAGCTTCTTTCTAAATCAGCAGTTCCATTTCAATGTGGAAGGGAGCATTTGCATCCAATTCCTCAATTGTAAATTAGGCCTGTCCTTCCTGATGGTCCTTCTTGCAGTCTTTGCGCACTTTAAATATATTATATCCTCAACATACGTTTCCTGCTAAAGTGGCGTTTCTCAATCTCAGCAACTTTAAGATGTGTGAACTTCAACTCCCAGAATGCAAGTGGTTGAGATTGAGAAGCATGGTGCTGAAGAGCACTGCACAGGGGAAAGTAGTGTTCACAGTGGAGGAGGGGAAGACAGCTAGGACAGCATATAGAGTTGGTAAAATTGCAGACAGTGTGGAAATGGAAAGCTAGGCTCAGCAGACAATGCTTACTCAGCGCACCTTCATCAGGGGAGGAATGCCATGGAATTGCTCTTGTGGGTTGCTTCAGAGATCTGATGGGCTTGAAGCACAGCTACTGCTTCCTCGATCTAACAAAGGCAAAGCCAGAGACAAGATGGAGGTTTAGAAAAGTCGGTTGCAGAGACTGCAATATCATTGTTTCTGCACCCAAAGAATCCAAACATGTTCAGCACAAAGCCTTTAAAAGGAAACTCCACTTGAGTTTTGCAAGTACAGTAGTAGCACATGGTTCCCCAGCCGGAGCCCTGCTGATGCTCTGAGATTAGAACTCCCAGAATTCCTTGGCTCCAATTCCAATTCTCCTGAAAAACCTCAAGTTGGAGAAGACTATAATAATATACTGAGAAAACCATTTTTGCCACAGTGGGCCCTGTTTAACAGATCTGGGAAGATGCCTTGATAGTCCAATTCATCTGTTTCCTTGTTGGCTCCCTCTCTGCTTGGCACTGAGCCCGCCTTTGCAAGCCTTCTGCTGAATAAACTTGCTATAAAACATTTTGGAGAGGGGCTAATAATTAAGAGCAATTCCACCTGCTTAAATATGTCTCATTCAAATTCAATTTTTTTTTTAAATCAGCATATGAGCTTTTGAAATACACAGAACTCTTTTTCATGCCAATGAAGATGCAGGAGAGGAAAGAAACAGATGTTTCTCAGCACAGAGATAAAGTAGCCCTAATACTTCTTTTGACTTAAAAAAAAAAGTTCTTGCAAACAGTGATGATAGGTTAAGGCCAGACCATGAACTAAAGTACTGTAGCCAGTCTGTCCTTCTAGGATCAAACCTGCTTCAGCACAGGTACATGAATGTAGATAACATAACAGGCTATAAAAACAAACACCTTGAAGAACAGATCCTTGCCAGTTTAAATATAATTTTCAGTGCAATCCTTCCCAACTTTTTTTTATCATCCCCATTATATCTGCTCTTAACCTCCAAGATTTTCTTAACACAGTTCCTTCCCATTGCCTTTTTCAACAAATCCAGCATTCTCACACTCTATCATACTTTCTTTAGACCAGAGTTCTGAAAATTCTCATACTCATAGTAGCACTCACATATTATGCTAAAATACATCAGACCAGCAATGAATGCATTATCGGTACATGCAGCCGCCAGATTTCTAAGTCAGAAATCTGGCAGTCAGTTGGGGAACAACCACCAGTGAGTGCTGTTTTCATAATGTCATCCTTACGGGCTTTCTGGAGGCATCTGGTTGGCCACTATGGAAGACAGAACATTGGACTAGATATACCTTTGCTGTAACTCTTCCAGCGTCCCTATGCTCATAAGGTTGACACAGGATTGAAGGTCTCCAGGAGTGTATACTATACAATCAACATCTCTAGGCTGTTGATCTCGGTTCTCTCCTCAAACTACCATTATAATGGTTTACCGCTGAAAAGTTAAAGAGGATGTGCATTTGTGCATCCATGCCACCCTTGAAGGACAATTACATAAACCCCAATCGTGTACAGTAGAACAAGGAATAATCAGGAGATATAAAAGTATAAAGCAGGTGGAAAATCAATCTGTTTGGGAAAAACTAAGTGGAAAGACATCCATGGAGACCCTACTAACCTGAGGCAATTTAACCATGCAGACCAACCTAACACAAAGCAGGACAGTTCATTTCAGCTGAAAAATTTGGAATTGCAGGATTAGGGCATTTTTAAGCATGGAATCCCAGTACCTTAGACTGAAGGGATTCTGGTGACTCCAGCATAAGTAGCAGATCAGAATTATCTATCTCCAACAGCATGCCTGTAATCTTTCCAGCCAGGGAGGGGTGCCTTGCATGAATTAGAGGATAGAGACGTTCACCTATGCGCAGCAAAAAAAGGATAAAAGCATGCATCATGAAGAACTGGGAAACCTAAATTTACCTTGTGTTTTATGAAGTGCCCCAGCCAGAGAAACTACATTCTAATTCAGCCCCACTTCTTGGGCAACTATCCGGGCCCACCAACACCAAGACTATGAGGTCTGGGAAGTCATCGTTTTAGGTTTCCTACAATCTTTGAAACATCTAGTATAAAACAATCATTGTTAGGTACTGTGGGAAATTTTAAATGGCAACTTCTTAGCTAGCCATTACCGTTGCTAGGGAACCCATATCTGGAAAGTAGGTTCATTAACATAGGAAGTAGAACCTAAAATGGCCCACCATTGCTTCAGTCCTAGACCTGTCTGTGTTCTGTCTTTAAGCTGTTGGGTAAGACTGAGCTGGGAGGACAGACTTCATCCTCCGCTGCAACCCATGGCTCCTCATGGCCACCATAGTTAGAAGATGATACACAGAATAGTATGGACAACCCAACTGACAGACAGTTTGGTGTAGTGGCTAAGGTGCTGGACTACAAACTGGGAGACTGTGAGTTCCAGTCCTCCTTTAGGCATGAAAGCCAGCTGACCAGTGATTCTCTCTCAGCCCAACCCACTTCACAGGGTGGTTGTTGTGGGGAAAATAGGAGGCAAGAGCATTATGTACACTGTCTTGAGCTGAACAAATAAAAAGGTAGGATATAAATCTAACGATACTAAAAGATGCCTTGATGACTATGCTGAATAGGTGTTTTTCTCTCATTATTCTTCTGTCAGCCATACTGTACTTATGTGTTACTTTTGTGGGTCTCTATCTCTGCATCAAGGCTTAGTGTTGCTCCTTAGATATTTTAAACTGAATGGGCTGCCAGTAAGGAAATACATGGACAAGTACATTCACATACTTGCTATAAAAACCAGATAATTTAAACTAGAGTAGGCAAAATAAAGTAAAGTAAAGTAAAATAAAATAAAATAAAGGAACATGGTATTTCAGTGAGCAGCAATGGCTATCAGTACTATGGTTGTCACATGGTTTGAGACAATAGCACAAAAAATGTGACAACCACATTTATTCTCCTACCACCCAAAAAAAGAGTGCAGATAAATTTCCCAATTTCCCCCCAATCAGAAGATTATTGAAGTTAACTGAAAAGTTCAGAAATATCAACATCTATTTAATAGGCAATTTATTCACAGGGAATACTGTGAATATATAAATGTTATATACAAGTTATAAATAAATATAACTTTAGATATATTCAGAGTTAAATCTGCCTGATCCTTAATCTTCAAGCCCCTTGAAGAATACTGGAAGTATTTTGAAAGTCCTCCTCCAGATATGCCTGAGTATCACTGGGCTCAGTGAGAAGTCAAATGCTTCCTTACTTTGCTTTAATGTAAGAGAGTTGGGAATTGTCGAAGGCTTTCACGGCTGGCATACGGTGGCTGGTGTGGGTCTTCCGGGCTGTGTGGCCGTGTTCTGGAAGTTTTGTTT